CTGAAACCCACTTTGTGCACACCCTGCATTTAGCTGAACGCAATACACCCGCTTTTAAAGAATAACTCCTCTGTCCCTGTGTTTGTGCTTTTAACCAAAGGACAAGGCTTTGAGGCATATTGTCTGTTTACTAATGGCAGTGAACGCCTCCATGTCAAACATAGGCAGCTCCCACTCACAAAGCAAGCTCTGCCTACCTGTTCACCTACTGTGCACGCAAAAAATCTCTCTACTGATGAAGCTAAATATGAGCACAAAAAAAATCTTCAAAGGAGAATATTCCTCCTTTCTTCCAACAGCAAAGGCAAAATATGGAGAAGTGATAAAAAAAAAAAAGGTCAAGTGGCATCTAACTGGAATCTAACTAATCTAACATAGATATTTCATTTATTTTCTATTTCCTCTGATTTATTTTGAAATATTATTTTGCAAACTGACATTTGTACACTTCTCCGTTTAATGCCAAATACTTTTTTACAGTAAATGTGTAAATATTCTCAAAGAATTGATGATTTCTATATAGAGGACAGCCAAAGAATGTGATGAACGGAATTGCTGGATAAAAACCTTTAGATGTTGGGATAGCAGACCCTGTTGTCTTCTCACATACCCACTTGGTATATATATATATATAGACTTATTATGTAAGTTTTTACAGAACAATATCATTGAAATAGCTTTTTCATTTGATCATTTAGGATTAAACATCGTTTGATGGGCAGACTGACATCTCAGTAGCTCATCACTGATGCATCTATAAGGCTGTAGCCTATTTTCCTTTATTTACTTTGGGTCTGAAGTTACCGCCCTGTTTTGGCGGATGTGACGTCACGCCTGTCCATGTTAAATAGGTCCAACCGAGAAAACAATTGAAGCTTTATATTTAAGATGGATTTTGCGGATATTGAGAAGCGACCGGCATCCAGCTCAACTAGACACCAATGGTGACAGCACTTAAGTAAAAAAAACTTGTTAAGCTTGAGTGCAGGACAAGCAGAAGATTGCTGCAGTTCTATTTTTTGGCCAAAGGTGGCAGTATCTTTAGAAAACTCTGTAATGTCTCTTTAAATGCTATCTGGTTATATAATAAAATTGTATAATTAATTAATACAAATTATTCAAAATGAATATTATCTCAGTAAATTTGGGGATAAACTAATTTACTAAACTCTAGCGTCCTTGCTGCGACTCTAGAAAAACAAAACTGTAGGGCCTTTTGGCCTGAAAGCCTAACATAGCTTGCCAAAGGCAAATAGCAGCATCTGTAAAGACCATACATACGCATTATTAGGACTGGAGGAACCTCTTATTTAGAGACAAAATGTAAGTCTTTAGAGTTTTCTGTGTAATTTCTGTGTTTTCTGTGCTCTTGAACATGAATCTTGGTGTTTTAACTCACAGGTGTGTGTGAAAGGATTAATATCATTGTTCAGCAATGTTCAGATATTTGTGTTGCTCAAGATGGAAATTCAATTAGATACATAGGAACAAAAATATTGAATGCTACCTCCATTCTGAAGGTTTTGTTTTTGACATTATATTTAACTAAATTGTATTTTATTAATAAACGTAATGAAACCTAATATCCTTAACTAGTAATTGATTAATTAGTTAATTATGTGTATATTTCTCAATGAATTAACTCATGTATTTCTGTTGTCAAATCTATCATAAACAACTCTGTCTTAAAGGTGTGTCCTCTCTGGCATTAAGCTCAGCCTTAGATGAATCCATCGGGCACCTTACCTTATCGGACCTGCAGTTCTGAAGATTTTGACCTAACCTCAGTGGACAGAGCCTCCCTGCAACATTTTTTATAGCTAGCATCAGACTATAACATACATAGCTGCTCTCATCTTAGCACAAGTATTGAAGTTTTAGTTTTTCCTTTCTTTAGTTTTTAGAAACTTGATCTAAATCATTTTAAACCTGATATTGCTGAAAGACTGAAGAATGTTAAGGTAAAAAAAAAGCAACACAGATGCATTTCTACCAAGTAGATCCAGATTCCAACTGATTTACTTTACAGATAAAACTATAAAACCTGCTTTCATAAAACAAATATCATTATCGGAAAAGAGATCTTATTCCTTAAGCTTCTACACTCGCAGAATTCAACTACCGCAGACAGATATATTGCATTGCTATACAGCAGAATATTATTTACTTTTTCTCAGAAAAGGGAAATCTTTAGATCTGTGTATGATGAAATATTTTCAAATAAGCTTTTTTAATTTTTTTTTTTATCTCTGGTTATGGATTAGTTGATTTTCTTTATTTTTGCAATTAATTTTATCATAAGTAAATCAAATGGTAAAATCTGATATAATGGTTTGGATTCTGAGGGATTAAAGCTGCGTGCCGGCAGTACTTATAGAGGTCTGACAAAATAAATTCCAGGAATTTGTCTGATAACAACCCGCCTGAGAAGCTGGGGAACATCCTGTGTTTCTGGCTGTGTCTCGATGGATGATGAGCAGCATCCTGGATCAGATGCACGGCTTTTTAATTTAGCTGCTGCATGCTTCAAAACACAGTGACAGAAGTTTTCATTCTGTGATTCAACCTTTCAATAACCCTGCATAAACATTAGCTCCAATTTTTCAGGCAGTGACTAAAGCTGCCACGTCAGCAGCTGGCCTGAAGCTCTTTCTTATTTTCTGACTCCTTAAAAGGCCTGAGATGCATCTAACAAAGCAAATACAGATCATTCTGTGACACTATGAGTAACTGGAGGAACGTGTGAGGAGTTAAACTGTTCAGAACCTACTTTCTGGATCTGATTGTTAAGTGTGAAAACAGGAGTCCATTTATCTGTGTGGATAAGTGTGTTTGGTCATCTCCGTTGGCTTTGTGTAACCACTAGGTACAGTCCACAGGAAAATACATTTTCTGCATCATGAAAACCTGTTCTCTTGCAAATCCAACATTTATTTTTCTTTTTGAGCGGATTCTGCTCTTTTAATTAAGTCAAGTTTCTGTTGGATCCTCTCCTGCGGCTAAAACCCCATCCAATTTATTAATGCTGTGAATGCCTAACGCCTCCCACCGACATGAATACATATTTATACCAAGGCGAGCCACTTTACTTTAATATACTAAAGACATCTTCCTTTCCTTTCAGTGTTTGTCTTAAGAAGAGGCACACGCTGCCATAGAAATCAGAAATATGAGCTTGGTAACTTCATTGAAGGATATTAGATTCAGGGATGAAGATGAAGGGCAAAAGAGTAGAGAGAGGAGCATGATATCTCAGTGATTAAGCTTGCCAGTGTGGGGGCGGTTCATATATGTGAGTGCGTGTTGCAAACACAGCAGGGGCAGAGCCGGATTAAAGCTGAAAATGCTCCATAGCTGTGAGAGGCATCAATTGGAGAAACGGAGGGAAAGCAAAAACCACACAGAGAAATGAAGTGACACGACTAGAGCTCAACAAAGAATCAAGCGCAGACTTATTTTATAGATATTCACTTAAATGCTTAAAAATGGGCAACCATTGTTTAGCTTTATCAAGTACTTGTCTTAAAAGATCAAGCTATAAGGTTGGAGTATTCAGACAGAGGGATCTTTAAGCAGTCCTTCATGCTGATGGAACCTTTTATATTAGTTTTATTCGTATTATTATTTATTTTATCACACAAATATGTCTCTATGATTGTTGATATATTTGATTGTAAAAACACTGTTTACTAGAGAAATGTGCCTGAGTTTAAACCTCTCCTCCGTCTCTGATTGTCTGAGTTGTTGCTGAACTTGCTTCCTATTCTGATATTCTCCTCTGGGTGGACTGGGGTAATGCATCTAGTTGATTGTTACATTTTTTAAGTATAATTTTGTTCTTTTCACCACTGTAATATTTGCTGCTATTTAGTAACATGCATATTTGGGAATATTTAAAGTTGGAAAGCTTATATTCTAAGGAAAGAATGAATAGCTTGGCAGCAAAATGGAGTTACACTGACTCTAGTGGGGTTTCATCATACTTTTGTTTTGCTCACAGCTTCCACTGTGTAGTGCAGCAGGTGTTTTCTTATTCTGTTTACGGTTTCCTTTTAGGTATTTCAAAATGGGTAAATATTTACCTCATTAACAATAAATGCATCCATCCATACTGTAATATTCTCCCATGGGAGTTAGCTTTGATTGGGTATCATATACGGTGATTGGTTTTCTGCTCAAAAAACACATGGAAAATCTTTTGAATAGTATTCCTCAAAGAGATGTACGGTTGCCTGCTGGTAACTGTTAACTGATAACTGTTGCAACGGAGCTCCTCTGGTGTAGGCTAACAAACAAACTAGCCGTCTCTGCCGGGAGGACAGGCAAGCTGCTGGACTACCCTTCCCTGTTTATGACAGAACAGCAAAATAAACATTACTTCTATTCTTAATTAACTTACCTGTTCAGCAGTAAGGCTCCAGCCTCTATGTTCATTCAATTCACTCATGAACTGTCAGGAAATTGGTAAAATCTACGCCAATGTAGCCTCATGTTTTCTGTCTATTACCTCTTTTTCTTTTCTTGGTTACCTTCCCTTCCTTCTACCCAAAGAGTATTATCAACCCAGAACAAGTTTATCCTCTTTTGGCAACTGTAATCAAAATTGGAGACACAAAATCCTGTTCTAGGATTTCGAAATGCTTTAATTTAGTCATACACTGTCCCTTTAATATAAAAATAATATATTCAATCATATCTATCTGTAACTAATACAAACAACATAATGCACCAGAGTGCTTTTTTTTAATTTTTATTTTTATTTATTTTTTTTATCTTATTGCGGTATGAGAAAATGAAAATGCATTAATTCTTTCACCATAAACAGATGTTTATTGTGAGTGTGGCCAAAGACAGATATTCTGAAGCTCACTCTCACTTCCCCTTATCTATTTATTTATGGATGTGGATGAAGAAATTAAAAATACTGCTCCTATATTTCAGCTGCAATGTGCCATTTAAATGCATGAAATGTGCAGTGCATAGGGTTTTTTCATTCATACCATTTTTATGGCGCCTCATCAGAACACAGCGTCCGTTATCGTTCTCTCGATAGGGGGAGAGACAGGAGCCGCAGTGAGACGAGCCGACCTGGCAGTGGTGGCGTCTTTGCTGGGCACAGTCTAACGGTGAAGGGCATCTATTGTGAGCTGAGGGACAGATACAAACAACAACAACAACAAAAAACAGTTAATGATAGCACAGAAGATGAGAAAAACATGTTTCTGTGTGGAATGACTTGAACTAAAAATCCTTTGAATAAGAAGTGATTCAGCTCTGTAAGTCACTCATTTCTTGTTCGTGGGCGTCTTTTATCTAAGAATAAAAAAAAAAAAAAAATCTCACCTTGAAGAAATTGCATGCTGATGAAGCTTTGGTGTGTTTTATCAAAGACTTCTCAGCTTTGTGTCTAAAGAGTAAATTCACCAGAAAGAATAGGACCACAACAGAAAACAGAAAAAAACCCTTCCCACTGCACAGTGTTGTGATCATGACCCTCCTCTAGGCTTAATCAGGTCAGACCCAAATAAAGACTGATGTTCTCGCTATCGACTCAGATAATCACTTGGCCTCATTACTGTCTATTTGAAAGAATTTAATTCAGATGCATGCACAAACACACACAGATGTCAGAACCAGAGGATGTGATAAGGTCAGAGCAGGTGTGTTTGGCGGCGGAAGGCAGGCAGAGACTGATAATGAGCACAGCGGGGCTGTGTGGTGGGCCCAGTTAAAGGTGAACAGCACAGCAGGTGCAGATGTAGTCATAACAGATACAGTATGCGGTGATATAAGCAGGACGGACAGAAGGGGAGGCCAGTGTTCAGCAGCCCTTTGTTGGACCTAACACGTCCCTCTGCAGTCAGGTTCTAATCAGGCACTGAAGACTTTGCTTGCATCTCTGAGGAGTGCTTTGGAGATTTCACTTTACCTCCATTAGCATACATTTATCTTTACATAATGGCGAGATTAACTGAAGTCCTTTTATTTCTACTCTGAAAGATTACTGGTTGTGACTCCTGGCAAATCTAGAACAGTTTATTCTTACAGCCATTTCCTGCCTTACTTGTACTGCTCATTTTCTCACCAGTCCCTTCTTGAAAAATATCTGTTAAGTGATAAACACTTGATTTTTGATATAATTGAGAAATTATGGTAAAAATGTATCAAATGCTTTAGCTATTAATGTGAAATTGCATAGTAAAACAGCAACAAAAATACACACTTTGATTCACAACATGCATATAACCGCTGGTTCTGGAGCAGCAAGTGGCTCTTAGACACTCAACAATTGCTCTTTATCACTTCTGCGAAAAATTATGAGGAGCCATATAATCTTCTGATGAAAGATATAATAAAGATACTAGTAAGTATCCAGGTTACAACTTTCTCCAGTGACTAATTGCATTGATTTTTTTCAAAAAGCATTGACTCTAAATATAATGGTAATATATAATTATCTTTTTTAAATGGGAGAAATGTTGTTTTATTTCAAAATAATTTTCCACAGATTTCAGCAACCTTTTAAACATGTATTTATTCTTATTATTTCCAAGTTTTTTTTTTCTTCATTTTAAAATCTAAAATTTGAAATTGCAAAAAGATTAGTTAAAAGGGAGAATTATGTCTTTGGTAGATATATGTTATATATATTAGTAATATTTTCCTTTAAGAAATAAAAAAAAGTCATGTAAATTTTGTGGAGTTTTATTAGCTGAACTGAGGTGAAAAATGACTCTAGTGTAAAGGTTGCAAAGCCATGGCCTAAACTGTCTTTAATTGGTCAGTTGTCTGTTAAAATATGATTACAGTGCTATCTCAGCTAATGTCTGATATTGCTTAAGATAAGTACACCCAAAATGATAGTACGACCATCTTAGTGTATAACTCAAATAAACAATCGTGGGGCAAAACTGATTGGGAAATTTTTACTCATTCATTTTCTTTTCATCGATATAAAATCCCTGTATTGCTTATGATATCCAGAAGACATCCTGTTATCAGAGCGAAACCTGTACTGTTTGCACTTCATTTATTTTGCATTACCAAAAATCTTTTACAGATAAATCCTGTTTTGTTTTTCCTCTTTTTAGAAAGACAGTTATGTAAGGGTTTTGCTAGCCTCCGAGAGATATATGATGAAACTTTTTAAATCTGCAAATAATTAAATAATAAAAACTCATCATACGCACTAACCGCTGCACCTCCTGCATGCCCAAAAACACATTATTTGTTGATGCAGTTGTATTTCTATTTGAGGAACCCTGAAGAATGAAGAACATTCATGCTAAAAAAAACCTCAGACAACGGAACAGAAACCTGAACCATTTGATCATCTGCTCGGCAGCAGCAAAACTGTCAGATATTATATATAACATCGTCCTTGGATGACCTGCCTCAGGAACAGGTGGCAGATGTGCAATCTGAGAAATCTCTTTTGGGTCAGATAACAAAAAAAAACACATTATGACAGCAGGAAACAAGGAAACTGATTTATGATGCTGTGGGCCTACAGGAATAATGTCAGACTTAAAATTATTTTTGCACTCTTTTAAATAACAGGGTATTTTGAATAAACATATAATAGAGAACTGAAAGCAGTAAAATGACCTCAGAGATAAGGCCAAATAAAGGCAGAAATGGTGAACTAGACACTAAATCTTCCTTCACAGACCTATAGTTTATAGAAAACCTGTGAGATGGGCTGATTGAATAAAAATATAAGAAGATCAAGGCCTCAGGATGATCCAGAGAGATAAAACATTATTCCATCTTACATAACTGTAGGTGGCATCTTTATAAATTTAATGACAATAAAATAAAACTCCTAGGCTTTGAATGATTGTCCCCAACATAAATGACAAACGCTGTACTTGCCCTTTCATTCTCCTGGGCTTTTTTTTTTTTGGGCATGTTTGCATAAAGCTTTGATGACCGTTAAGGTTAAACGGAACTAATGATCGATTATGTCGCTTCAACAGAATCATGAAACTGCTAAAACCTCTAATCTATGAAAATATCCATCATCACAAAGTCTCTCTATGAAAACAATTGTTATAAAAAAAAAATTAAATATCAACTTTGCTGAAACTTAATATGCAGCGAGAATCTCAACACTTCTGGTCAGAACTCCATGTGTTATTCATGTGGGAAGCAGATAATTTTCCTCCAAAGACACATTTAATCAGGAACACAGAAACAAGCCAAACTGTGAGGCTTTCCAACAGAGAAAAAGAAAACAAGAGTGACGCTGGGGTGCATTTTAAAAGATTTAGGGCCATTTACATTCAAAAACCGGGTAGAAGTATTTATTTATCAGCACAAGCAATTAAAAAGTCAAAGAAATGTGTGCCTCCCAAATTCAGACATCTCAATAAATGGCACAAAAAATACCACAAAACGATGAAGTGAGAGGATGAGACATCATATAAAGTAACTCTTTAATGCAGATCAGGACGTACGGTCTCAGTTTAGTCACAAGAGTGAGAGCAAATTGCGTAACGCAAGGACTCAGAAATTAGTCCTTGGATTTAAGTGAAAAAAAAACAACTTTGCTTACCATCTGCTGCTGTTGCCAGGCTTTGCGCTCAGCAGAAGCTTAGCCAGGAAAAAAATAAAAAATATGAGAGCAAAACAGAAGCATACATTCTCCCAAAGCTCTCAGACCAATACATACATGCAAGCATGTTCATTTTGGCTCATTTGAGCTGTTCCCTAGATAAATAAGATAAATGACATAATATTCACCTATGTGTGCTCATGATTTTGGTGAGCAGATTCTTTCTTTTTTTAAAGGAAAAGTAGGAAACACACCCATTGTTTGCAGTTCCTGACTCAGATAGCAGACAGGAAGTAAGCCAAGCACTCTAAATCAAGTGGAAACATTAAAGAGCTCAGCTTCGTTGCCCTGCACTTAATATAACCAGTGAGTGTATTTCCACTTGGCAGAATGATAAAGGGCTTTAGAGGACATGTTTGTACATTTGTCTTGAGCTTTTGGAGGTTCTACTTCAGTCTCCAATTACTAAAATCAAACAAATGTTTGACCGGCCCATTTCAAAATGTTTGTTTTCATTAGCCTCAGCTGAGGCAAAACCTCCACTGCACACCTGTATACTGTAGGAGTTTTGCTTTAGGCATTGAACATGCATGCATATTTTATTATTTTTTAAATACAGGGTAAATTGTGGTTTTCCCCACAGATCAGTACAGAGTCACTATCCATCCATACATCCATCATATATTACATCACAGTGTTCGTGAGGCCAGCGCCTATCTCTGGCAGTCTATGGGTGAGAGGCGGGGTAAACCTTGGACACGTCGCCAGTCTGTCAAACCAAGAACTTTCTTGCTGCAAAGCAGCTGTGCTACAAACTGTAACACCCCCGCCCCCTGTACAGTCCCAGTACTGAGTCGCCATTTAACTTTTTTTTTTCCTACATGCTGCATCTTGCTCAACTTTTCCAGGTGCATGTCACTCTATGCAGATGAGCTTTTACTGTAAATCTTAATAAAATCTGCTGAATTCAACGGTTTTGCAAATCTTTCAATTTGAGATCAAATGTCAAAACAAAAAAAAATTCCTTCCATTAGACAAGAATTTCTGGTCACCCACACATCACTGAGTCTCGTCATGCTAAACAGGGCTTTCTGTCAATGAAGCTATTGCTGAAGCACAACCTCAAGTTACGAATGGGTTAAAATGCCGTGGCATGATGAAGTTCCACAAAACATCTCAAAAGGTTAAATTAAAACAATTCTGCCAAAAGATGAGTCAATCAAAATCTCCCCAATGATTAACTTGCCCTAAATTACGTAATTGGTTCAGGGCAAGTTGGTATTGATAGTTAATCTTTTACTCAATAAATAAAATCATAAACGGAAGAATTGCAAAAAAAATAAAAAATAAACAGTAGACATCTGTAAGGAAGCAAACGTTTTTGCCACAGTGCTGTATTTCCCCTAAAGTTACGGAAAACGGAAAACATACCATACCATGATTTCACACCCAAGGTAGGCGCTAAACCAAAGGTTTTTTTTTGTCTTTGTTTTGCTGCAAAGTATTCTTAGACACACTAAGATTCTCAGTGCTTTGAAATAAACTTTGCAAGATTATACATTAAAAAAAAGCCTTTATCATTATGATTAA